TGCAAAAGAGCCTTAGGCAGAAGGACCACAAGTTCAAGTATAACATGGGTAATTGAGCAAGATCCTGTCTCAAAATAAATATTAAAAAGGGCTGAAGATTAGTTTAGTATTATAATGCTTACCCAAAATATAGTGCAGGCCCAAAATCTTGGCTTCAACCCTCAGCACCACAAAAAAAAAAAAAATGTTTTGGGGGGCCAGGGACATGGCTCAGGAGAATAAGTACTTCCCTGGCAAGTGCAAGGGTCTGAATTCAATCCTCAGTTCCACCAAAAAAAAAAGTTTTTAACTCTGAGGCCATTATACTAGGCTTCAAAAAATTTTAAGTTAATTTTTCACACAAGATTCAGAGATAAGCTAACCTGAAAGAATGTTTTTATTAAATATATTCTCAAATATCTATGTGGAAGTTTTCCTGTGACCTGAGAAAAAATGAAAACTAACATATACAAATGGCAAATATTTTGAAGTTATTCTTTAAATATTTTCAATTGCTAAAGAGAGACAAATTGACTTTAGAGTAGTAAAATTAAAACACAACTAACCTGTGTGATCTTCTCCACTGCACTCACATTCAAGGAGGTCATGAGTAACACAATGTGAATTTTCATGCAACGTGAACAAATTTTTAAGTTCCTCTACTGAAAACTGAATATGTTCGGATGTCTTGGTTAGATCTACAACTGCCCCAGAAAGAGCCTGCTTACTGATCTGTCTTTGATAGATCTTTTCTTCTATTGTACCTAAAGAGAAAACATTCATGAGATTTCCTTCAAGATATTTATGTCAGGGCTGGAGAGATAGCTCAAGGGACTAAGAGCCTGCTTAGACAAGCACAGAGACCTGGGTTCGATCTGATCCCCGGCACCACATGCTGTGCTGGCCCTGCCCCTGGGCAAGCTGAGCCAGCCACTGACATCGGGCATGGCGGCGCAGGCCTGTAAACCAAGTGCTTGGGAGGCTGATGTGTTTGAGCTGCAGTAGTGATGACCCTGTACCAAATACGTACTAACTAGATACATAAAATGGTATATATGTCTATCATTTTTACAGACTAAGCATATTTATTAACATACTAATTAATAAAATATTTCTAACAGAAGCACTGGCTAAAAATGTTTTAATTCCTCAAAGGGTAGACTTTTCTATTACACTGAGAAGTTATTACCTGTGGTTAGGAGTCTATAAATATGCACGGCATGTTTCTGACCATCTCTCCATACTCTAGACATAGCCTGTAGAAAATAAGTGAAAATTCTGAGTAAAGTAGAAACTAACAGCCCTTGCCACATAAGCAGTTTTCAGGAATATATTTTGTGGTCAGAAATTCTGGGTTTTATTTTTAGATTCAAAAACAAAGCCCAGGCATGCCCTGCTTCATTTCCTTTTCCATGGATATAGAAAGGAATGCTTGAGCACTCACACACATTATCGAAAAGTAACTGCAGGGAGACCAGTCGTTAACAGGTAGGTTGCTAAATGAGGACAAGCAGTAGGACCTAACTGGGAGTGGAGCTGCTTTTCTCTGCTCTGTGTGTCCTTTTAGCAAATTAGCAAACCTGAGGGTTGTCTCGGATCACATAATGCAGATACTGAGGTACAAATTTAGAAGGTAGAATCTCAAAATACATAAAAATAAACTATAATCTGAAGAAAACCAAAGACTCTTTCTCCAATAGTTTCTAATTTTATACCCTTACTGCAGCTCACACAAACTGGTGCATTACCCTCTCATCTTCCCCTAATGGTCAAGAGCAGCCTGAAGTCTCATCTGTGAAGTGCAGTAAATTAAGGTCTGGAGACATAAAGTTTGGGTTTGAGTCCTGATTCTGTGATCTATAAGCTGAGGGAATCTCAACAAGTTTCCATTACTTAACTTGTAAAAAATGTGGCTACTAATATTCATACTTCATAGGGAAGTTATAAAGAGAAAACAGATAGCAAATGAGAAGCACTTTACCAGAGTGCCTGATGTAAAATAAAGGGTCAGCATATATCAGTAGTTACACATCACCATCATCTTTGCATTCCCAGCAGGCATTGTATCTGCAGGCATTGAACGGTGTCTAAAACATAAAGATTCCTACCTGGATATCAGTAGCTGGATTCCAATCAATGTCATACAGAATTAAGTGAGATCCTCCAATAAGATTAAGTCCTACACCACCAGCTTTTGAACTTAACAAAAAAATAAAGTCAGAAGAGTATTTACTATTAAAACCATCAACAATTTTCTGTCTTTGAGAGATTGGTGTTTGTCCATCAAGTCTTGCATAAGCATATCCATAACGCTTGCAGACATCTTGCAAAATATTCAAGGTCTGTGTATAGTTGGACACCAACACCACCCTATAATCAAAACAAAAGATTCTTTACTTACACTTTAAAGGCAAAATTCAATCTTTTGGGTTTTGGTTTTTTGGGGTTGGTTTTTTTTGTTTTGTTTTGTTTTTGTTTTTTTTTTTTTGCACAACCGGGGATTGAACTCAGACCCTTATGCTTGCCAGGGAAGCACTTATTCCACTGAGCCATCTCCCCAGCCCATCCCCTTTTTTTTTGAGGCATGGTCTCAAAATGTAGTTCAGAGGGCTGGCAAGATAGCTCAGCAGGCAAGCAGACTAAGCTCCTGCTTAGGCAAGTGCAGGGACCAGGATTTGATCCCTGGTACTGCATGCCACACCAGCCCCACCCTCGGGTATGCTGAGCTGACCACCGAGACTAGGTGTAGTGGTATACGTCTATAATCCCAGCACCAGGGAGGCTGAAAACAGGAGGATCACTATGAGTTTGAGCTGCATAGTGAGACCCTCTACCAAATACATAAAAGTAAAAAAAAAACAAAAAAAACGTAGTTCAGGCTGGACTTGAACTCACTATGTAGCCCAGGCTGGCCTTGAATTCATGGAGGTCCTCCTGCCTCAGTCTCCCAAGTGCTGGGACTACAGGTGTGTACCACCATGTCTGGCAAAAATTCAATTTTTTACATGAAGGAAAATATCGCAATAGTGTTTTCACTGATATTTACAAACATGCAAGAATGACCTTATACAATTAAAATCAGGTGCTCCACATTCAATTTTAAAGTCACAGTCTTAGAAAAAAAAAAAAAAAAAAAACAGAAAAAAGACCTTTCTGACTTTTTCATCTCTCTGAAGTCACCTTAAAAACAGCAGGAATGTCAAGCATGATGGCACACGCCTGAAATCCCAGCACATGGGAGGCTGAGGCAGAAGGATCATTGCAAGTTCTGGCTAGCCTGGCTAAAAAGTGAGCCCAAGGCCAGGCTGAATTGCATAGCAAAACCCTGTCTCAAAAAGACAGGCAAAAGTAAATAAATAAATACAGACAGATTGTTAACAACAACAACAAAAAAAACCTGAACAAAAGGATACATTGTGACACCTCATTTCTTCTCTCTGCCTCTAAAACTCTGTTCACTAGGTTGGGGATACAGCTCAGTAGTACCCAGCAAGTACCAGTCCCTGGGTACAACCCCCAGCACTGCAAAAAATAGATGAACAACAACAAAAAAAATCTCTGTTCACCCATCCCTTGTCCAACAACTGTCATTCCTGCCCTCAGAAAAGAGGGGGAAACCCAGTGATTTTTTTAACACAAAGAAAAATTTAAGTAAATGTTTATATTCTTAAAGCCAAACAGGAGTTATGATGTGCCTAAGAGCCCTCCAGAACATGTAATTATAATAATCAAAACAAAATGGTGGTAAAGAAAAGGGGAGTAGATTTTCAAATTAAGAAATAAGACCAACAGAGTTAACGATTGGATGAGTGCTGATAAAGAAAGGCTAAAAGGAACCCTAAGGTATACCAACATTTAGGAAACAGTTAAGTACACCCACGCTAGGTGTTCTGGTCCAAAAGGCATTACTAGAGTTTTTTAAATGTTCATATATTACATTTAGTTTTTCTTAATAAAAGCTTATTGTTGAAATGCTTACAAAATATTGGAAGCTTACTTATGACTCCAAAGAAAAACATCTTTTTTTTTTTGTTTTCTTACTTGAGGGGTAGAAGGGAGTAAACCATGGAGAAGGCCTAAAGCCCATCAGCATATATAGGTGGTGCCTTAAATTAGTCTCTTACTTTTCAGTAGGACGAAGCTCACGGATAACAGTGAGGAGTTTTGACAGCACCTGTAGCTTTCCTGAGTCCTTCTCAGTACACTCCAGAGAGTTGTAATCAGCAGGAAACACACTTAGTAAGCCTTCATATAGACTCTTTTCTTCGTTTCCATCACTAGTTGAACTACATTCTTTTCCCTATTTAAAAAGTGATTGTTAACGCTAGCTCATATTTGAATTTTTTAAAGACAAAAAATGTTAAAATTATGGGGAGGGGGAAGATTAATAACTACCCAAAAAGTCCTAGCTGCTATGCAAACCTTTATAAGTCATGATTTGATCATTTTTTAAAAAGTAACCTGCATCCCACTGAGCTGATCACTAAGTACCTGCACTGCAGCCTCAGGGCTGCTCCGTTCAACTTGTAAGTGCATGGTCAGCTTCCTCACAGAACCTTGGTGGGGTAGGAGGGAGTATCACGGGGTGGGGGTCCAGGCAGAAAAAGCAAAGGAAAAAAATAAAGGACAGACACACATGTACAACCTGCTCTCTCCAGAACTCTGACATTTCCATCATCAACCTGTCTTTTCCTCTCTCCTTCCCTAGCACTACTTTCTCCTGACGTGTAAGCTGCACACATCTCCCACGTGTTATTCACAAACAAGCACAAGTTCACTTAATTTATTTCAGTTTCTTCTGTAAGTACCCATCTCACCAACAAATTAAGTAAGAGGAGTCTACTCTTACAATACTTTGTTTTTCTTTTTTTTTTTTTTTACACAATACCTTTTATTCTACTAATAAACTGCTTGACAGAGAGTGGAGTACTGAGGACTGAAGCAGTGCTTCACACGTGCCAGGCAGCTGCCCTGCCACAATCCCAGTTTTACTAATACTGAAGTCTTGAGAATATATATCTAGATATAGATATAGATATAGATATAGATATAGATATAGATATAGATATTGATAGATATTTTTTTTCAGAACCAGGGATTGAACTCGGGCTGTTGCGTTTGTTAGGAAAGCACTTATTCTACTGAGCCATCTCCCTGGCCCAGTCTTGAAAATATTTTAAAGCAGTCAGTACCTCTGAAGTTTTTCCTCCAAAACTGTCTAGTTAAAATATGAATACATTAGTAGAGACAACAGTTATTAATGGCTAATCAGTTTTTAAGTTAAATTCCCATGACTGGCAGATATCGTCACTCTCTCATATTTACCAGAATTATCATAATTTTGAGATTCTGCTTAATCTATACCACTTCTAAGAATTTTTTCTCAATTTTATGGTCAAATATCTCAATCCTATAAAGATCTGAACTCAATGCAAATCCTACCTGTTTCTATCTCTCTCCCTAGCACATTTTCATTTTTAATTGAGCAGTTAGCTCTACTTTTCTACACTCCCTAGGGGTTTTTTTTGTTTGTTTTGTTTTTTTTTGTGGAACCGGGGATTGAACTCAGATCCTTGAGTTTGCCAGTCAAGCGCTTATCCTACTGAGCCATCTCCCCAGTCCAAAAAGAGAGTTGGAATGTATTGGGGTTTTTTTTTTTTTTTTTTAGGAACCGGGGATTGAACTCAGGCCCTTGCACTTGCCACAAGGAAGTGCTTATTCCACTGAGCCATCTCCCCAGCCCTCCCTAGGGTTTTTAATGTGTGCTGTACTCCTTCTTTGATAGTATTAGAAATGGGCCGGGGAGGTAGCACAGTAGAATAAGTGCCTGCCTGGCAAGCACAGGGTCCTGAGTTCAATCCTCACTACCACACACACACACACACACACACACAAAAGTATTAGAAATATCTGAAAGGAAAGAAGTCCTGCAGTGGAAGACAATAATTGTGTCTTATTAGATAATGGACCACATAAACAGAATCACTTGAAAAAATCTCAGGCATGCCTGGATCCTACTTTCAGAGATTCTGAATTGGTATGTATTGACTGAGGTCTGGACAGATACAATTTTAAAAACTGCCCAGAATATTATAATGTGTATCACTAATTATTAATCCTAATTACTAATCCTAATTACTAATCACTAATTACTAAGCCTGGTGCATCACTCATGACTGACTTGGTAGGGTTTTGTCAGTTAATCGAGATACTCTCTCCTCTGACTCCATGTAAACTGGTACCCTATGATTATGACTTATAATGCTATTAGTGGTTATGTTCTATTCACATTCCTCAATAGATACAGCACCTTAAATATGGGATACTACCTAAGTTCAATAGGAACACATTTAGACTTATAAATCACTGCTTAAAGTTTACTATATGCAGGAAGGCTTATTGTAGCCCTTTCACAGTGAAATCTTATTTGGTATGATGTTAGAGGAAAGGTTCTTCTGAATAGTTTCAGACTATAAATGATGGCACTCTATTTGAAACTTAGAGCACTCTGCCTGTTACCAGTGGCCATTTGGCCACAAGCAAAGCCATTCAGTGCCCCCTGCTGCTTCCTTTAAGAATGTGTAGGGATGTTCTGAACTGGTACATTCTGAGCCATCCTGAAGTCTTCCTTTTAAGGAAGAATTTTTGGCTTCTATTTTTGCTGGGCATCATGCCCAAAGGGTTTAATTTTTACCACTGTATATAGAATCTGCTTCTTTAAAAGTTGCTTAATAAATTGTTATAATCCTGCTTTCTTCAGAGTTACACAAAACTGACTTCTATGATAAACTAGGTAACTATAATCCATTGTAGAATAAACCTGGAGAATTCTGGTACAATGCTTCATTTACTAAATACCGAATTAATGACCTCAGCAAAAGGTCAAATCATGGGGCTGGTGAGATGGCTCAGTGGTCTAAAACACCTACTTAGAACAAGCTTAGCAAAGCACAGGAACTGCGGTTCAATTCCCCAGCACCACATGCCAGCCAGCCCCGCCCCCTGGTGGGCTGAGCTGGACACACACACACACACACACACACACACA